GGAAATTCTGAGCAGCTAGATACTAAGTTTATGTTAAGGTGGGTGAAGAGAAAGACAATATACAATAAGGTGTCAATGAGCACACTATCACTAAAGAGAGGAAAGACACAATAGAAACAGACAACAAAGGTAAACACTATTACTTATACAATCTTACACTATTAGTGAAAATTCAATAATCTTAAAATTGTATGTTGTTGCCATGTGCCATCTAGTTGCTTGCAACTCATATCAACCCTATGTACAACAGCTCTGAATCCTGCTCTATCCCAAGCCAACCTTATTGTCTCTGATATACCTGTCCCCATTATCCAAGTGACTGAATCAATCCATCTCTTCCAGGGTCTTCCTCTCTTGTGCTGTCCCTCCACCCTCCCAAGCATGATGTTCCTCTCCAAGGACTGGTTCCTCCTTGCAACAAGTCCAAAGAATGTCAGATGAAGCTTCAAAATCCTTACCTCCAAGGAGCAGCCTAGTTTCACTCTCTACAGGAAGAACCTGTTTGTTCTCCTAGTAGTCCATGGTATATTCAATACTCTTCTCCAGTACTATAGCTCAAAGCCTTCACTTTCTTTCTGTCATCCCTAGTCATTGCAAAATATTGCTGACGATCATTCAAAAATTACTAGAACAGTACATTGCCAGGGAACTGCTATAAGTTCAGCCTGGGTTTAGAAGAGGCCATGGCACCAAGGATATCATTGCTGATGTCAGATGGATCCTGGTTAAAGCAGAGACTATCAGAAGAATGTTTATCTGTGTTTTATTGATCATGCAAAGGCATTCGACTGTGTGGATTATAATAAACTATGGCTATCATTAAGAAGAACGGAAAACCTAGAACATTTAATTATGCTTATATGAAACCTGTGTCTAGACCAAGAAGCTGTTTTCCTAACACAGGAAGAAAACACTGTGTGCATGCTTCAAAATCTTGAAAAGATTGTGTCAGGTTTGTTGTTTTCTCCATACTTGTTCAATCAGTATGCTGAGCAAATAGTTCACAAAGCTGGACTCTATAAAGAAGAAAGTGACATCACTATTAGAGGAAGACTCACAAACACTCTGTATTATGTAGATAACACAACCTTGCTTGCTGAAAATGAGGAGGACTTGAAGCACCTGCTGTGGAAGATCAAAAACTACAGTCTTAAATATGGATTACATCTCAACATCAAGAAAATAAAAATCCTCACCATTGAACCAATAGGCAACATCATGATGTTGTAGTTGTGTACCATCAAGTCAGAGCCAACCCGTAGCTGACCCCCTGGTGGGTTTTCAGAGGCCATTGATCACACAGGAGGAGATTACTCACCCATCTGCAGAGCAGCTGGTGGATTTGAACCACATGCCTTCGGGATTGCAGCACAGCTTCTTGCCACTAGGCCACCAGACCTCTGATATCATGATATCACCACATCATAATAGATGGAGGAAAGATTAGAATCGTCAACATTCTCATATTTGGATCCACACTCAACACTTTCGGTACCAGCAGTCAGGAGGTCAGGAGACATCTTGCATTGGGAAGTCCACCATTAGGGACCGCTCTAAATTACTGAGGAACAGTGCTGTCAGTTTGAAGACTAATGTATGCCTGATTTGGTCTTTTCAAAGTTGCTATGCATCTGGAGACCTGGACAGTGAAGAAGGATTACAGAAGAACCCATTCAACAGACATGATGTTTTTGAGATGTGCTGTTGGAGAAGAGTACTGAATATTCCCTGCACTTCCAAAAGAACAAACAGATATGTCTTGGGAAAAGTGCAGCCACAATGCTCCTTGAGATAAAGATGGCTAAGCTTCATCTCTTCTACTTTTGACTGTGTTGTTAAGAGAGGCAATTCCTTGGACAATGACATTGTGTTTGGAAAGATGGAGAGTCAGCAAAAGAGAGAAAGTCCCACAGTGAAATAGATTGACAGTGGCAGTGGGTTTAACTATATCAGAGATGCCGAGGGTGTCACAGGGTAGGACAGGGTTCAGATCTGTTGTTCGTAGGGCCGCTGAGTCATACATGACTTTAGGGCACATAACAACAGTTATCAGTAATAGCAAATGTTAATCTACAAGTGGATACATAGACAAACAAGGTAAGTGACTTTATGAGCAGGTAAAAGGAAGTATACAAATAACTATATGCTTATTTGGCAGATAATATTTCTGTAATGCTAAAAATATACCCATATAGTAGAGCTAACAGTGGCTAGAGTTCTCTAACTTCTTAATCATAACCAAGTACCCTGAGGGAATGAGTTGCTGGTCCTTAGACCATAGTTTCAGGGAACATCAGGGTCAACAGGTACACAGCATAGTCTACAAAGAACATATTCTACATCCTATTGGCAGCATCATGATAGATGGTGAAGAGACTGATGTTAACACCTTCAACTTGTTTGGCTCCACAGTTAACACTCTGGTACCAGCAGCCAGGAAATTAAAAGACAAATTGCATTGGGAAAGTCTGCTGTCATATACCTCTCCAGAGTACTGAAGAGCAACAATGCCAGTCTGGAGACTAAGATGTGCCTGATCCAGGCCATGGTCTTTGCAATTACTTGCTTAAGAAAGCTGGACAATGACTAGGGATGCTAGAAGGAGAATTGATGCCTTTGAGCTGTGGTGCTGGGGAAAAGTATTGAGGGTACCATAGACTGCTAGGAGAATAAACAAGTTCAACCTGGAGAGGGTGAAACCAGGCTGCTCCTTGGAGGCAAGGATTCTGAGGCTTCATCTGACATACTTTGGGCATATTGCAAGGAGGGACCAGTCCTTGGAGAGGGATGTCATGCTTGGGAGGGTTGAGAGACAGCACAAGAGAGGAAGACCCTCGATGAGATGGGTGGATTCAGTGACTGGTATAGTGCGGATAGGTGTGTCAGACACAATAAGTTTGGCACAGGATAGAGCAGGGTTGAGAGCTGTTGTACATAGGGTCAATATGAGTTGTAGGCTACTTGACAGAACATAACAAAAACAACAACTATGGTCACTAGCATTTGAGGTTTAAAAGCTTATGAAGCTAAGGTCCAGCTCTTTATTTTTTCCCTGCCTGGAACTAAGAGTGGTGGTGGGGGAGGGAAATCAAAGACACATAAATAGTTAGTCCAGAGGACTCCTGGACCACACTAATCTCTACTTCCAGGAGCCTGAGACCAAAGAACTAAATGATGCTCAAATAACTCTCCTCATCACCCTGAAAGGTCCCGCAGTAAAGGGTATGGACAGAGTGTGAAGAAAATGTAGGACAAAACTCAACATTTTAAAAATTGGCTAGGATTTTTCTCTGATAGAACTTGATGGAACCCCATACTCATCCTTTGAGCCTGAAACAAAACTCACCCTGGGCCTCATCTTTGAACTAAACGACAGATAAGCCTATAAGGTAAACAGCCACACGAGATCAAAAGGGCAGCACGTGTGGAGCTTTCCTGAAAAGCTGGACAGAATTAAAGAAAGATTAACATAAATGTGAGTCACAGGGAGTAAGCAAGAAGAGTTACATTACATGTGGGATGTTGAATGTCATAAAAAGATTAATGGAATACCAATTTACTCTATACACTTTTATTCAAATCCCAACACAAGTTTAAAAAAATTGCATAATTTCTAAAAACTTGAAATTTTAAAATGGCCTAAGATGAACTAGTAAATCACAAAGAAATATGAATGGAGAGATGTTCAACTTCACTAGTGATTTAAACATTGCAGATCAAATGAAAGTATCTTTTTTTACCTACCATGTGATAATAACCAATTTTGATAGAGTAATAGGGAAGGTACACTGTTTTCTGATGAGTATTCTGATGGGGTTTTATTTTTTCAGATTTAGTTAATTAGTTAGTTACCTCCTTAGGATTCTAAATCTTCCAACACTAAGGTCCAGATAGCCTGTCACCATCCACTCACCTCTCTAGAGATTATCATACTGGCATCAGTGATCCTATGTGTCCTAACAGATAGCTTGATCGAAGTGCGTCAGAGGTGGTGAGGATGGCACAGGACAGGACAGGGTTCAGATCTATTGTTCACGGGGTCTTTATGAGTCACCTCACAACAACATCATCTAGAGGTAGACGTGACACCCTCACCTGTGGGTCCGATTCTGCACTGGGCTAGGCTATCGCTTGTTCTACTGCTGGTACCATTTCTTATAATTAGCACAAGTTGCCAGCCCTCTCATGCTGATATACCCTGCTGCCCACTGCATTCCAGGGATGAACTGAATCTGTTTCCTTTTCTTCCCACAACAATTTATGTCACTGTGCTTACCTACAGTTTATCCTGTATATTTACTTCTATTATATTTCCCCAGTTATTTATCTCTTCTCAAAAGCAAACACAGAAGAGGATTGAGTGGTAGTGCCAACTTGCATTCTCTGTTACCAACTTATTTTCCCTTCTATGAGTTGATTCCAGGAATTCACTTTTCTACTTTTGTTTTTAGCTCCCATGTATTGAAGGTGTAGGTGGCAAACACTTTGGTTTTTGGGGTTTTTTTATTATTAAATTTTATTAGTTTTAATGAACATTTACAGGGATTTGGGGTTTTCATTCCTTCATTGCTGCACCATTCTCTCTACCCTCCTCCCCAGTTTGTTCTTCTTCCCCCGCCATCCGAATGTCTGTTTTAGTTGTCCAATTGCCACAGTGCTTGTCAAAGTCAGTTCTGATTAATCTCCTTTGTCAGTGTGTCCTTTACCATTCCCTATCACTCCTCCCTGATTCATAAGGAAAAGGGGATGGCGTATTCTCTTAGCTACTTCCTGCTGAAAAGGGATGCTGTGGGTTTCAGGGTGAAGATCTTCTCCATGCACTTTGACATCCCTCTGTGACACTTACCCTGGGTGTACCCATAGAGGGCACTCTTCCCATTGCAAGGCACAGCCCTGTATGCAGAGGATACCTCCACAACTCTGCTCGAGCAGGAAATAGCAATGAATTCTCTGGTTTTATAACAGTGCTTAATTTATTTTCTCTCCAATGTTATACACAGGTCTTACTTTGTTTTTCCCGGGATACATCCGTGTTGGCTCACTTTGCATACAACAGTGCTTCACCACCGAAATCCTACATAAGAGGTAAAAATGTCCAAAATATAAAGGAAGTATTCTTTAAGGCTTACATAATCTTACCAAGGATGTTTATTTATTTTATGGCGTGATTGGTGTTGCAGGATGGGGTTTTCTTTCAAATTGTGAAGTTCTCAATCAGACTTCTGTTAGATGATTATAATCATCCTTTATGATGATCAGTGCCCACACAACTTGCCACAAATCACAGTGCCGCCCAGCTTCCTCATCGTCCTTATTCACTTGCTCCTCTATTGCTGTTTCTGCTCTGTCTGTTGACACTTTCCCCCTCCTTTGGGTTTATCACAAGGATTTGCTTTGTCTACATCTGTTTTTACCCTCTGTAGTTCTTCCCCCAAAATGTCTCGCTATAGTTGGAAACTTCAGTATCATTTATTTGCTACCAGCTCTCTGATTTCTGTCTTAATACTCCCGCCACCCCAGCCCCACCCTGTCCTCTTTAACCGCTAGCAGTTTACAAGATATTTGTATTTCAAGTCCGGCCGTTACTTGAGTAAATTTTCTTTGGAAGCATTTCCCAACTTCTCTTTATTAGGTGGTGGTGAACACCTAGCACTAAAATCACAGGTTCTTGTTGTGTGTGGTCATTCCTTTGTTTTAATAAAGAAAGAAGTGTTCCTGAAGTATCACCTCTGCTTGATTGTTCCAAACACTGCTGTTAGGACAAGGCTCATAACTTCATACTCGCTCCCCTGAACTTGGGTTGGTCAATTCCTTTGCTCCCAAATTCAACTTACAGAAATAATATGTGTGTTTTGCTTTGCTTATAATTGTTTAACATCAGTTCCTGCTAAGGAACTGAAGAACTTAATTATAATTTAAGAGGTTGACTGTGGCTCAGGTGGGCTCTCAGTTAGTCCTGCTGTAATCTTACGAGCTTTGTTTCCCTGATTAAACACAATACCCTGTGTTCAGTGTAGTGTCCACCTGTTCCCTATATTAGGAAGATTGCCTGCTTCTCCATCCCCAAACAATGGGTTTTTTAGGATCTCATCAAGTCCACTGTCCACTGTCCATCATCAGTTTCCTTGCCCTACAAACCTTTATATGGATTCAAACATACTCGTGGTTGTGAAGGTGGCCCAGGAATGGGCAACAACATTGTCGTGTTATATGTAACATCACTATGAACTGTAGCCAAATTGACCTGATAATAATAATGACGGTGAGCCAAAAAGCTGTTGTCTGAACAGAGCTGGGGAACCCTGCATGGTTCAAACTCAAGAAAGGAGTGTGTCAGGGGTGTAGCCTTTCTCCACATCTTTTCAATCTATATGCTAAACAGATCCTTCAAGAAGCTAGACTTTATGAAGAAGAACATGGCATCAGGATTGGAGGAAAATTCATCAACAACTTGTGTTATGCAGATGACACAACCTTGCTGAAAAGTGAAGAGGACTTGAAGTGCTTGCTGCAGAACATCAAGGTCTATAGCCTTCAATGTGGAGTCCATCTCAAAATCAAGGAAACAAAGATCCTTTCTACTGGTCCAATAGGCAGCATTATAGAAATGGAGCAAGGATTGAAGTTGTTAACAATTTCATCTTACTTGGTTCTGTAATCAACAGTATTTTTACCAGCACTCAGGAAATCCAAAGATGAGTTGCACTGGAAAAGTTTGCTGTCCAAGACCTCTCCAGAGAGCTAAAGAGCAACAGTGTCAGCTTAAAGACTCAGAGCCCGCTGATCCAAGCCAGGAGGTTCTCAGTTCCTTACTATGTGTCTAAAACCTGGTCAGTGACAAAGGATAATAGAAGAACCGATGCCTTTGAATTGTGATACTGGAGAAGAGTATTGACCATCCCATAGACTGCTAAGAGAACAGGTCTGTCCTGGAGAAAGTGGAACCAAAGTGCTCTTTGGAGACAAATGTGGTAAAACTCCTTCTTGTACCCTTTGGGCATGTTGTCAGGAGGGCTAGTTCTGGGAGAGGGACATCTTGGAAATTTAGAGGGTCAGCATAAAAGAGGAAGAGCCTCAGTGAGATGGATTGACAAGTGATTGTGGCAGTGGGGTCAAGTGTGCTGATTCAGAACCATCGTTCATTGGGTCGCTATGAGTCATGGCCGAGTTAACAGTGTGTAACAACAACACTGTGTATGTGAGGGAGCTCTGGCTGCATAGTGCACAGGAAATTCTGCTGCTAACCCAAATTCACCACCACTCCACGAGAAAGACAGGAAGTCTCCTTTTGTGTGATTAACAGCCTCAGAGACCCAGTGAAAGATCTGCTATGAGAGTGCTATAACTTGATGGCAATGAGTTTTTGGAAAAGTGTGTGTGAAGACCTCTGGTGGCATAAAGACTGTGCATGGCTACTAACCAAAAGGTGGGCACATTGAACTCGCCCACAGCGCCTCTGTTTCTGGAAAGACTTATGGTCTTAGAAACCTTACAGTGCAATTTTAGTCTGTTCTGTAGAGACTGATGCCTCTGAGCTGTGGTGTTGGAGAAGAGTACTGAACATCCCATGGAATGCCAAAAGAACAAGCAGATATGTCTTGGAGAAAGTACAACCAGAATGCCCTTTGGAGGCAAAGATGATAAAGTATTTCAGGCATGCTGCTAGGAGGGGGCTATTCCTTGGAGAAGAACATCATTCTCGGAAAAGCAGAGGGTTGGAGATGGAGAGGAAGACCCTCATCCAGGTGGATTGACACAGTGACTGTTGCAATGGGCTGTAGTGTGTCAAAGATTGTGAGGATGGCACAGGATAGGGCAGAGTTCACGTCTGTTGTTCAGAGGGTCACTCTGGGTCGTATTAAACTCAATAGCCCCCAACAGCAGCAACAGGGGTGGCTCTGTGAGTCAGAATTGACTCAGTGGCAGAAGACTGAAAGCCTGAGCCAAAACCCTTAATAACATTATGCTCATATCCTTACGGAACACGGGTATAATTCCTCAGCAGTTCCTCTGCTAACCCGAAAGTGGTACTGCTCTGGTGGTTTGAATCTTCCAGCAGCTCCACAGAAGAAAGATGGAAAGTCTCCTCCTGTGTAATTTATAGTCTCTCAAAAATCACCAGTAGGTAAGCCGTGGGTTGATCGAGACTCGACAACAATGACTTGGAGGGTTTGGGGTAGTTTTTTGTTGTTTGTTGTTTTGTTTTGTTTTGTTTTGTTTTTTTAGATACTCAGTGTAAGTTAGGATGAAAGGTAGAACTTTAAATGTTTTTAGGAAAATGTATTTTGAAAATTGAATGATATAGGAAACATCAAACAAGATGGACAGAATATATAAAGCCACTGTACCAAAAGGAATTGGTCAACACTGAGCATGAAGAAGCCATAGAGTCTGCACCCCACTACCAAATGAGGAACCCATAAGTGAATAAGACAGTTTCTTTGTTAAAAAAATAATAATAATCACCATTGGACTATGCTCACCATTATCCTGTCTTTTCTGATCCCCACTGAGTCTTTCTCATGTCCTTCACCTACTCCCCCTGCCCACCAAATTGTGCAGCCCTGTGATTTCATCCCTGCACATCCTCACCCGTCTGCTCCCAACCCTCACCCTCTTGTATCCCCATACATGTTTTTCACAATTAAAAAAAAAAAAACTCAAAAAATTTTAAAAAAAAGAAAATTAACAACTTCTCAAACTGTATGTTGATTTCCTAAACGTGCTACACTTGTCCTCTCTACCAAAGGCAGAGAGCTGTGGGTCTTAGTATGAGACAGAATCTGAAGAGTCCAGCAAACTGTCCCACCAGCCAGGGCCGCTATTCCTCGGATCCACATATCTGGTCTGCAGCCAGCAATTTTCCAAATGTGATTATTGAGGGAGTTCTCCGTGGAATATTTAACCCTCTTCTGAAGCCCAAGCAGAAATCCTTTGTGGCTAAAAGAAGCGGAAGCAAGTGTCAAAGACCTCGTCAAGGAAATTGATGCTTACCAAATTCACCAAAAGTCTATGGCATAATAGCTCTAGCCAATGGTAAAACTCACAGCCAAAGCTTAATTCAGGGTAGGGACATTCCCAGTAGAACGGTGCTTTTAAAAATAGAAGCTGAACCAGAGTAGTGGTTAGGTTAAGGCCAGTGTTTAAGAAGTAGAATGTAGATGCCAATTTGAAACCACTCAAAAGAGGCTCCAGACCATCCTTGGGAGCGCTGGGTGACTTTGCTCTGGGAGCACCCTTGTCTAATTGTAAATTCCATTCTGATACATACTAAAACTGATCAACACTTTTATTCATGTTTTATGACCCACTAATCATTTCACCATGAGCTTTTCTTGGCTGATGATGAGGTATGTTTTGAAGTGCTGGCACCAGATATGTGTCACAGACACATACTGTGCAGAAAGTGAGGAAGGAACTAAATTGGAAATTAAACTGTACCAACTAGATCATGGCATTCTAAAGCCCGAGGCATTTCTCTTTATGCTTCAGTGGAGTTGTATCATATCCAAGGTCCAGTTTTTAGCTTCAGTCCATCAGATCAGATGGAGTCTTATCAAGATTCCCCTTGAAAGCCCTTTAGGGAGGTTCCATACTGGAAATCCGAATCCCCACCAAAAACAGTTTGGCTTGTGCTCGCTGCGCTCTCACTAGTGCTCTCATTCTCTCTCTCTCTCTCTCTCTCTCTCTCATTATCATTGCTAGAAATTATTATTTCTTCAGTTGGAGATCAAATGAAGTTGTTGGTGCTTGCCAGGGGCCATTTGGTATAAGAACAACCTGTCTTTAAACAACAGACTCCCACTCAGCCCGCAGAATGTTTGTCCTCTGTCTTGAGGCAGGTCTGGCCTCAGAGTGACAGAGGGAGTCTCAGGTCGACCACACTCACCTTGGTTTACCCGAGCACACACATTCAGTGAGTAAGTGATGTTGTCAGAGCATTAAACAGTACCTTCCTTACCATCTCCTTTTCACTTACCTCATTTATTAGCAAGTTAAGACTTTATGATTTAACTCTCCTGTACACTCATCTTTAGCTTCTATGTTTCTTGGTAAGGGTAACATATATGTTATCTATATGTCTGTGCTGTGTTTGGACATTTCATTGAAGACTAATTAATGGCTAGCATATTTATGGTTATTGCTTTTACTACACTTCTATGTGGGAGAAATGTTACTTCAAATCAATACTAATAACTAAATCATTCCTTTTGATTAAGATTTATTATGTAGGTTTAATCCCTATTGGTTGAGATCTAAAGATATAGGCTTAAACCTGCTGCAAACTTTAAAAGATGTGTTTTATGATAGAGTATGATGTCACTACTTCTTGGAACCAGAACTAGTAATCAAGTGTCAACAACCAAAAATAACTGTATAGTCAAGTATTGGAAATATTTTAAAAACGTTTTTGTTATCAGCTATTTTGAGTTAAATAAAAACAAAGAATAAAACCTTTTTTACAAAAGGCCTTTTAGACAACGGTGAGCATATTTCGTTTTCTGCGACAATTCTTATTTCCAATATTTAGCACTACTCTCAGACCATGTTTTAGGGTTTAGAGAACATAGCTACTATACTAGTTAAGTAAATTCAATTTTTCATAGTATATTCCATAATACTGGAAATTAGCAAGCACTGCAAATAATATTTGCTTTAAAGAATAGATTTCCTTTAAAGAGTAGATGAGAATTACTTCTAATTAGCACAATTCTACTCTTATAAATAGATGGTTTTGCTTTTTAAAAATGATTAAGGAGATTGGAAGCATGTGTTACTTTATTGTTATTTATAACTTTCTGTATCCTTAAGTTTATGTTACTGACCTTTCTTTCAATGGAAGTGTTTGTTATTATCAAGGAATGGCAGATAGCTTTCCAAAATAATTCTATATCACAAAATGAAATGAGATTGTACTGTGGTAAGAAAACCCCAAATCTTAACACCCCTCCTCCTCTTCTCTGACTCACAGCAACAGTAGGACTGAGGGAGTAGAACTGCTCCATGTGTTTTCAAGGCTGTGATCTTTACAGAAATAGACTGCCTCATCCTGTTTCTTCACAATGGCTGGTGGATTTGAACTACTGACCTGTCAGCTTACAGCCAAGTGCTGAAGTACTATCCACCAAATTCACAAAATATTTAAAAAAAATTTTTTTATCTAAGCATATTGAAATTCTCTGTGTTTTTCTCATATAGGAAAACTCGGACTAGAAGAGTATGCAGTCTTTTATCCACCAAATGGTAAGAGTAATGCTGTTGCTTCCTCTAGTGGGAAACAGGAATATTACAACTTTCACAAAAGGAATGTGATTTTCTTATTCTCTATTGTTAGATGGAAAACAATTTATTATCAAAAACAAACTTAATATATGAATACTTAAGTGATTTCCAGACCTCCCCCCACCCCCATTTTTATGGTACACTTATGCTAAACTGTGCACTCTGTCATGTTCCTCTCTGAAAGCAGTAGTAATATGCATAAGAAAGCGAATCCTGCTTCAATGTATACGTATATGGGGACTTAGTTTTCTATAAAAAACTAAGTCCATCCAGGACCTTCCTTTGACTGTCTTAGAGCGCTGCTCTAATCAACTGAGTGTTTCGTGTTAATACTTTATGTTCTTATAATCTGGTGTGATATTTATGAAAAAAAGATGAAGAAATGTCACTATAATAATCCATTTTGATACTATAACATGATCCAATATATAATGACCTCATGAGACATTAAAAAGTCCCTTAAGAATAGTTGGCAGTTTGTAAGATACACTTCTTGGGAAAGCCATATATAGCATCCTTTATTGTGATAATAACAAGTTGCAGCCTGAAGAAGATTTTTATGCCAGCAGAGTTAAGAACATGGGCTTTGTAATGCAGCAGAGCTGGGTTCTGATGCCAGTTCTGCCGACTTACCCTATGACCTTACGTCAGTTCCATGACTTCTCTGGACTTCAGCTTACTCGCCTGTAGCACATGGATATAGACTAAGTGGGATGTGGTATGTATCTAAAATGGCACAGTGCCTGACACAGAATGAGTGCTCCAAAACTCATAGCTGTTATGAGTGTGTTTAACTCCTTCTTCACTCCATCACGCATCTCTAAAGGAAGACCTACAGCAATGGGTTAAAGCAGAGTAGAGATTGTGCAGCTTTTGTAAAACTGAGCTGTGATTTTAGAATACCATGGACTGCTAGGAAAACAAACAGATTTGTCCTGGAAAGGGTTAAATCAGGTGGCTCCTTGGAGGCAAGGATTCTGAGGCTCCGCCTAACATACTTTGGACATGTTGTGAGGAGAGACCGGTCCTTGGAGAGGGACATCATGCTTGGGAGGGTGGAGGGACAGCGCAGGAGAGGAAGGCCCTCTATGAGGTGGATTGATTCAGTGACTGGGATAATTGGGATGGGAGTGTCAGAGACAGTGCGATTGGCACAGGACAGAGCGGAGCGGAGTTTAGGGTCGCTATGAGTCGCAAGCGACTCGAGGTCACATAACAACAACAACAACATATTGTAAATGGGGTAGCTCTGAATTGGAGCTGACTCCACAGTAGATGTATTTAACAAAAGCACCATCATGACGCCTATTCTCTCCTGTAATTGCTCAGTGTATCTCAAGGCCCCCCTCATTCTGCCCCTCTTTTAAACTGGTATTCCCCAGTGTTCCATTCCACCCTTGTTTTTCTATTGTCTGAGTTATACATCTAAAGTGAAATATTACGATTACCATTTTTTTCCTTAAAATTTTCTTAGGGGCTTCTCACCCCTTAACAAGTGATGCCCACACTCCTCTGTATGCCTAATAGACCCTCATTTAAGGCTGGCCACTGCTCAGTCTCCTTGATAGCTTCATTCCTCGCCCCTCATCTCACGTATTTCTCACAGAAATTTCATTCTTCACATAGATGTTTGCTCACTTTCACAAAGGTGTGTGCTTTTTCTCACCTCATGACATCTGCTGTTTCTGGCTTAGAATACGCCGTCCAGCTTTTCTTCACTTGGTTGCCCTCACGACTCAGTACAGACAGAATACTCTGCAAGAAGTGTTCCCTGAATCCTTGCACGAGGCTAAGGCCTTTCTTCTAGGCTCTGATGATGCCTCATGTGTAAATCTTTCCTATTTCTTACTATATTATCGCAGCATCATTGTTTATGCTTTATCTTCCTCTCTACATCATAAATATCTTAAGGTTAAGGAACATACCATTCACTTTCCCCCAGTACCTGGTATGTATGAGCTTAATGGGTATTTATTTTAACTACATTAAAGTCTTGCTAATTTTAACATTTATTTATAACTTTGTTATATCTATTTCCCAGAAACATCATTTTATAATAACTATAAAACAGCATACAAGAGCTCTTCAACAAATCAGCCTAGAACAATTTTATGTAAAAGCCAGTATTAGTGGTAATTGTGTCCGTAATGTCTGATGTTTTACAAGCAGTAAGTACTATGTTCTGAGCAGTGTGCTAACTACTTTGCATGGATTAACTCATTATTAACTTACCAAAGGCCTGTTATTTAGGATGTAGATGGCCTAACCTGCTTCCTGGTCTGTCTTAATCGGGGAGCTCCACCAAAACCTGTCCAACATGGGTAACCCAAATGGCATTTGACACACCAGTGGCATATATTTCTGTCTCACAGCAACGCCATGTTACCTCAGTACAGCAAACTGACAAACAAGTGCTGTACCACTTAGAACAATGTTCTCTTCAAATACAATTCACACCAGCTTTTAAATACAAAGGCCTGCCCACCAGGTCCTGATTGCTTAAACAAGAAGCTTTACAGTCCACAGCTGATTGTTAATGAAACCAGAAACAGCCAATCAGCTTACACTTGGTTGTTAAAGAAATCAAAATGCCCCAACAGTTTACACCCAATGCAATGGGAAAATCTTCCGTTAGGGACTTCTCCAAATTATTGAGGAGTAAAGATGTCAGTTTGAGGACTAAGGTGCATCTGATTCAAGCCATGGTGTTTCCATTTACATACTGTGCATCTGAGAGCTGGACAACGAATAAGGATGACAGAAAAAGAATTGATGCCTTTGAGTTTTGGTGTTGGAGAAAAGCACTGAACATCCCATGGACAGGCAAGAGAACAAACAGATCTTAAATAGGGTACAACTGAAGTGCTCTTTGGAGGGAAGATTGATGAGGCTTTGCCTCACATACTTTGGGTGTGTTGCTGGGGGGGGTGGCTATTCCTTGGGAAAGGTGTAGGGTCACTGAAGGAGAGGAAGACCCTCACGTAGGTGGATTGACATGGTGACTGCTGCAAAGGGCTCTTGAGTGTCAGGAAGTGTGAGGATGGCACAGGATAGAATAAGGTTTAGATCTTTTGTTCATAGGGTCATTATGAGTCATACTCAATAACACCTAACAACAGCAACAACTTATCAAAACTCTGGGAAATAGATATCGCTCAGCTTTTGTATAGATGAAGAAAGTGAAGAACAGAGTTTTAACTTGTCCGGCTAGTGACAAAGCCTAACTTTGAACCCAACTTGTCTGTTTTCCAATGCTTTATTCCTAATCATTTCTCTCTCCTAGCTCCAAAAATGTTACTGCATTCACTACAGTGGTGTTTGAAAGAAAAGCGGACGGTTAATGAATTGAAAAAGTAGAAGGCATATAAACAGATATATAGAAAATAAGTAAATTCTAGAAAGATTTTCATCCAGAATAAAAGTCATTTGAATGCTTAATGGAGTAAACTCACAGTTGTTGTTAAGCTTAGTTTTTCTGAATCACCCCTTCTCTAAGACTGCTTTAGACACTCTACACTCAGGGAAGACTCTCCTCTGGTGAATGCGTCTGAAGTTACAGAAGAAAAACAGACAGAGATCAGTCTGTCTTTTGTTCCCTTTGTTCTTTACCCAGGACAATACTGAGCATTATTACCTACTCTGTTTTTCAACCTCTGCCAAAAGTAGGATTTTGAAATCTCAAGGGCCCTCCCACCACAAGCACCATCAAAACTGGGTGTGAGTCACACAGAGAAGTTTGCCCAATCTGTCCATGACCCGGCAAGTGCTTTCAAGGGGATGGAAGTTTTATCACCTTCCTCCTTTTGTAAGATGTAAATGATAGACCCTAGTGGCATGAAACATTGCTCCATAATCTCTTGTGAGGGACTGTCAGTGCACACATTTTCTGTTCTTGTTCTTGTTAGGTGTTGTTGAGTACAACTCCTAGCGATCTTGTGAACAATAAATATGAACCCGGCCCTATCATGTGCCATCCTCACACTTCCAGACACATTCAAGCCCACTGTTAAGGGTCTTCCTCTCTTTTGCCGCCCCTTCCAAACATGATGTCCCTCCCCGAAGAATAGCCTCTTTTAGCAATGCCCAAAATAAGCGAGACAAAGCTTTATCATCTCTGCCTCCAAGGTGCACCGTGGCCACAAATGATACACCTAAGACATACCTGTTTGTCCTTTTGCAGTCCATGGGATAGTCAGTACTCTTCTCTGAAGGCATCAGATCTCCTACAGTTATCTGTAGTCTTTGTTCAAATTTCAGATGCATAGTAAGTTTTTGCAAAGGCCATGACCTGAATCATCTCAAACTGACACCATTACTCCTCAATAAATTGGAGAGGTCTCTGACTTCAGAATTTCCCAATACACTACATCTTCTGATCTCCCCCAAACTAGTACCAAATGTATTCATTGTGGATCCAAGTAAGATGAGGTCATTGACAGTATGAGTCTTCTCCATCTATCAGTTCAGTGGTGAGGACGTTTGTTTTATTAACACTGAGATGCAATCCATATTGAAAGCTGCAGTGTTTAACCTTCTGCAGCAAGTGCTTCAAGTCTTCCTTACTTTCAGCAACAAGGTTGCATCATCTTAATAATGCAGGTTATTGATGAGTTTTCTTCTGATCCTGATGCCACATTTTTTTCTTCATAGAGTCCAGCTTCTCAAATAATTTGCTTAGCGTATAGTTGAATAGGTCTTGGAGAAAGGCTCCAAACCTCATGCACATCTTTCCTAATTTTAAACTATGTAGTCTGCCTTAAAGAGCAGTGAAGTCAGTCTGGAGACTAAAGTATGTCTGATCCAGGCCATGGTCTTTGCAGTTATTTGCTATGCATCAGAGAGCTGGGCATTGACTAAGGATGACAGAAGAAGAACTGATGTCTTTGAGTTGTGGTGCTGGAATAGAGTACTGAACCACCAGAAGATGGTGAAACCAAGTTTCTCCTTAGACACAAGGATTT